AAAAAAAAAGAGGGAAAAAAAGGATAAAAACAGAAGTTAGGGAAGAGTAACGTAGGCCAGGTGCTGATGGATCACTCCTGTACTCCTAGCTACTCAGAAGGCTGAAATCTGAGGATCACAGTTCAAGGCTAGCCTGTGCAGAAAAGTCTGTGAGACTCTTATCTCCAATTAACTACCAGAAAACCAGAAGTGGAGCTGTGGCTCAAAGTGGTAGAGTGCTAACCTTGAGCAGAAGAGTTCGGGGACAGCACCCAGGCCCAGAGTTTAAGCCCAATGACCCCCCCCCCAAAAAAAGAAAGAAGAATGTAAATGGAATGACTTTGACCAAAGTACATTTTATATGTAAATACCACAGTGAAACTCATTTGTGAAATTAATTTTATGCTAATAAAATTAAAAGAAAAATGGACTATAATCAGTAGTTCATAATGAAATCTATTAGAGGGAAATTAAGTGTGACAAAGAAGTGGGTTTGGGTGGTTATTTTAGGCCCATTTGCTTCTAATGAGGCTGACAAGCTTTAACACTTATAACTTAGCACCAGAGAAAAGGTACATGGGCTGAGCAGCAAAGAAGCAACCAAGCTGCCCTTCCTGAGTCTGTCCTTCTTCCTGTAACTTTGCCTCCCTTGCTGCAGATCTCTCCTTCCCCCAAGCCAAACGCCGCCCTGCCTCCGCTGCCCTTGTATGACCAGCCTCCCAGCAGCCCTTACCCCAGCCCAGATAAGAGGAGCTCACAATTCTTCCCCCGATCTCCGTCAGCAAATGGTAAGGGTCTCCTGGCACAGTCTGAATGTGTGTTTACCTCAGGAATCCAAATCAGCAACACAAATAGATTGAGTCTCTTTGGTTCTCTCCCTTAGAAAACAGTCTCCATGTTGAATCGCCAGGATTCTCACAGGCATCAAGGCATACTCCTGAGACCTCGTATGGAAAACTGCGTCCTGTAAGTTTCCTAATGGTCAGGGTTATAGATTGCATAGTTCTTCCAAATCAAAAGTGAGGAACTCATGTTTTAGTGGCCCCTGTGTTACTGATTCCGTCAGAAAAGGGTTTGGGAAGGTAAAAAGAGCTATTGCAATAGCTAAATTCATCTAATCCAATTTACTGACGTCTGCACTGGAACATTTCTTATTGAACCATAGTAAGATGACAAGACAATTGCTCTACAGGAGTATTTATACCATTAAAGTGATATAATTGTGAAGCAAAGTATTTTAGTAGGCATTTATTAAGAACCTATTTTTCAGGGCTGGAAAGGTGGCTCAGTGGTAGAGTGCTTGCCTTGCATGCATGAGGCCCTCGGTTCAATTCCTCAGCACCACATAAGCAGAAAAAGCCAGAAGTGGGGCTGAGGCTCAAGTGGTAGAGCGCTAGTCTATAGCTGAAGAGCTGAGGGACAGCGCCCAGGCCCAGAGTTTAGGCCCAACGACCAACAAAAAAATAAAAAAGAACCTGTTTTTCCAGATCTGTATTTTTCTACTTGAGGAAATACAACAGAGCCGGGTGCCAGTGGCTCATGCCTGTAATCTAGCTACTCAGGAGGCTGAGATCTGAGGATCGAGGTTCAAAGACAGCCCGGGCAAGAAAAGCCATGAAACTCTTATCTCCAATAAACCACCAGAAAACTGGAAGTGGTGCTGTGGCTCAAGTGGTAGAGTGCTAACCTTGAGCTGAAGAGCTCAGGGACAGTGCTCAGGCCTAGAGTTCAAGGCTCATATCTGACCAAAAAAAAAAAAAAAAGCCAATAGGATAAACTTAATGATTTCAAACAATGTATTCTCGAGAATATATTCTGACAAATAACTAGCCTCTGCTTGCCATTCACTATTCCATCTCAGTTCCATCCCACCACTACACTCCAAGGCCATAACTTTTATACTGGTAAGCCAACAGATACTCTTAATTTTATTTCCCGTAGCCTTTTATCAGCATTTGATACCTTGATTCTGGCTTTGTTCATTCAGCAAGTAGTACATGAGTGTTTGCTAGGATCTTGGGTGTCTATTCTAAATGTGACAAGAAGCCATTGCAGGATGGTAAGCAGAACAGTGTTCCAACTGCTTTGCATTTGTAAAACACTCCTGCCAGCCAGCTAGGGTAGTGTATACCTGTTAGTCCCAGCACGTTAAAGCTACCCTGGGCTACATAATGAAACCCTGTCTTATAGACAGACAGATGTTGTGTCTGCTAAGTGGAGAGTAACGGAAGGTGGCAGAACAAATATCAGGAGCCATTATGAAACTGGAGCATTGGTGTAAGCTGGTGGGAAGAGGGAACAGAATGAGGGGAACTACTCTGCCTGTTCCACCACACTTTCCTGACTTGCTTTCTACTTTTCTGGTCCTCCCTTTCCTTGGACCTTTTGCAGGCTTCTTTGTCTATCTCTATCTATCTCTGCTGATAGTTCCATGATTGTGAGAACCTTTATACATATAAGCAGCTCCCAGATTTATAAGATTCAGATTTGTAGGCATCTCATCTTACATGTCCTGGATCCCCAAACTCAGCAAAGTTGATTATGTTCTCTCTTATCCATGTTCCTTCTTCCATATTACCTGTCCTGATACCTCACTGGCCCCACCTCCCTCAGGAGTCATCACCAGATCCTGCTACGTTTACCTAGAAGGAAGTTTTTAAACATTCCACTGTTTTGTTTCTACCATTTCTGCCACTCCAGTTCATGCTTACATCAGCTCTTATTAAGACAGTAAAAAAGGCTCCTAGAAGCCTGGTGCCAGTGGCTCATGCCTGTAATCCTAGCTACTCAGGAGGCTGAGATGTGAGAATCACAGTTGGATGCCAGCCCAAGCAGAAAAGTCCCATTGAGACTATAAGAGTCTCCAGTTAACCACTCAAAAAACCAGAAGTGGAGCTGTGGCTCAATTGGCGAGCTAGCCTTGAGCACAAAGAGGTTCAGAGACAGCACCTAGCCCTGAGCTCAAGCCCCACAACTGACAAAAAAATAAAAGGCTCCTACGTAGTCTTCCCCACCTCTGATCTCTTCAAACTGTTACCTGAGTCATCATATCCTACATTTACTAATCCTTGCAGTCTACCAAAGACCTCTTTGTAGGCAAAGTCCAAGTTTCTTTTTTTTTGTTGTTGTTGGTTGTAGGGCTTGAACTCTGGGCTTGGGCACTATTCTTCAGCTCAAGGCAAGTGCTCTACCACTTGAGCCACAGCACCACTTCCGGTTTTCTAGTGGTTTATTGGAGACAAGAGTCTCCCAGACTTTCCTGTCTGGGCTGGCTTTGAACCATGATCCTCAGATCTTAGCCTCCTGAGTAGCTAGAATTACAGGTGCCACCGGCACCTGGCTAAGTCCAAGTTTCTTGACAAGGCCCTTCACTGTGTCAGCCACCTTTCAGCCTTCTCCCCTGAGACATGCTTAGTTCTACATGAAGTCTCCTTGCTGTACTCCCGGCCTTAGCTTTGGAGGAGGGCTTTCAGACTGCAGGAACTCCTGTGCCCATGAGGCTTTCAGCCTAGGTATCACTATTCCATTTTTGGATTTAGTACTTCACCTAGAACAGCACTTGCTTCTCAGGGTGGGAGACAATGAAGATTAGTTGGAAAGTGCAAGTTCAGAGCTTCTGGGCCCTAGAATGCCTATATCCTTGAATAGAGGAGTGATTTGGGTTTACAGATGCTCTAAGTTGAGTCAGGAAGCTGACTGACACCCATGTCATTGTCTTCTGCTCAGGTCCGGGCAGCTCCCCCTCCTCCCACACAGAACCACAGGAGGCCAGCTGAAAAGATGGAGGATGTGGAGATCACACTGGTGTGACCATGGCTTTACCCTCTGTTACTGCTACAATCAAGGCCAGGCTTGGAGTTCGGCCCATCTTGTTTTTTTAGGCACCTTTGCATGATGATGACTCTTGAACAGAGCAAAACCAAGGAGGATTCTTGACTGGTGGCCTGGTGGACTCCTCCCATGTTTTGAATATTTTGTGCCTTTTTTAGTTGTCATTTTCTATATCATCTCTCCTACCATAGCACAAATCTTAGAGGCCCTAGAAGAAGAGTGGAGAGCAGCCCTCATGCCTAACAGTGGCCCATTTTTATATGAGACTGGCCTCATGCCAAGGCACAGTCGCAGAATTACTGATCATGTGCATTCGTACAGTATATTACTGTGGCCACAAGGATGTGGCAAAGATCTCATCTTTCTTCAAGTGGCTTTTGCTCATCTGATTAAGTATTAATCAGATCATGTTGGCTACATAAGGAAACAGAAGGAGGGATTCAGGAGAGGCTGGTTCCTCCCCAAGGTTCATCCCCTAGACTGAAAGTGACACTTGACTGGGAAGAAAGGGACTGATTGCCCTGAGTTTAGCGCCAACTGCATTAACGCACACCTCCTCCACAACTAACAGGTTTTAAATGGTAACCGTGTCCTTTGTGTTAATATTTATGCCATTCATTTAGTATTAGGGGGCTAACCTGGAGGGGCTGAACTAGTAGCCATGTCTTGCCCATTACATAAATAATAGAAAAAAAGGAGGCCATGGCTGAAGCTGAAATGGAGCTTCCAGATCTGAAATGAAGTGGTTTAATGTTCTTTTTGTCTTTGGGGTATTTTTCATCATAGTTTTTACAGCACATACTTTTCTGACCAGTATCTTTAGAATCTGAATGTGTGGATACATTGAGGACACATGCCTGCATTGCTGAGCTTCTCTACTGAGGAGGCATTATTTTATTCACAAGCTAGTGTTCTGGCCTACACAGCCATATTGTGGTTGGTGCAGACCACCTGTCACCCATGGAAAATTCAGCTTCAGCTCCCACTGTCCTGACATTCCCTTGGGAGGAAGAGCCTATGGGCCCATGAAGGAAACTAGCTTCCTGTGAGAAAGGACCAAGTACTGCACACCTGCACAAGAGGAGTGGATGAGAAAAGTTGAATGCCGGGACAAGTGTTCTTGGTGGCCTACAGCAGCAAGACCCAGAATGAGCTCTGGCACTCCGTACCATGGAAAGTAAGGAGCACATTACCTGAGGACTAAGGGACATTTGCCAGCTCCTGTTTATTTTTGTCAAGAAATCAAACAGAACTTAATCCAAACCTTGTATTATGCTTTTGAAAATTCCATCCCTTCTAAGAATCTTGAAAAACTTGAAGTGCTCGCCAAATGTCCCCATGGGATCTTTGACCAAAAGTAAGGTCAGAACCCAAGAAATTTTCAGTTAGTCACTTGATCCCTCAGTGACAACACTTCTAGCAATTTTTCTCCATGATTTTGTTTTTGTTTTTTGCATTTCTTAATCTGTTGATCTATTTGAGGTCTTTTTGTGTTTATCAAACTTATTCTTAAGTTTAAAAAATTAAAAGGGTGGCTTTTATAAGACAAAAATTTTCCTGTGTTCCATATCTTCAAAGTACTTATGAATAGTAGAGCAGTTCTTGCCACCCAGACCTTGTATTCTCTCTTTAGCTAGCCAAATTTGTCCTTGAATTTGGGTTTTTCACAACCTCAGAGAATTATTTCAAATCTTTTGTTATATTTTAAAGTATTTTTTGGAAGAGCTGCTAATTTTATTTTAAAAAACAAAGTTGTAAAAATATGCCTCCTTTTTAAAAAATAACCCCTCCCTCCAGGCCATGTAACCCAGAGTCACCATGCACAGGTCAGGCTCACAGAGAGCCTATGTGCAGATGTGCTTTCTTTACAGTGGCTGTAAAAAGTTTGTATTTATTATGTATAAAATGTTGAATAATAAAAAAACAGAATTAAGTTTTCCAGGATCTTTATAAAAACTCTTAGGTAAATGGGATATTGGGGCAGGCAACATGCTTGTTACAGACACTTCAGGATCACAATGCAATATCCTAGGTAGTAGAGATGAAAATAAATACTGGTCTTTGCTTAGGTTCTTTCCCATTGGGGGAAAAATCAAAAAACAAGAGGCCTGTACTGAAGGGAGGGGAGACAGCCTGATGAGGAGGAAGTACTGATTTTGGTACTGGAGGGGCCAAAGTAGGATTACTGAAGCCCCTCCAGGGATTTAACTGCTGGTTTCTAGGAAGTAGTCATTCTGGATGTATGTTCACTTCCCTAAATCTTCACCCTGAGGAGAAATTGTATGAAAGGAGATCCTGAGGACTGCAGATGTGAGTAGAGGATTGATTACAGGTTGAGTCCCTCTGGCTTCTAGCTGGGTGCACCAAGGACTGAGGTGCACCACGGAGGCTTAATCCTTGGTGGAGAAGAAGCACACACACCTCCCCTTTCCTAGAGCTGGAGGAATATGGCATGTATACTTCTAGACATCTTTCAGGACATATATGATGCTATTTATACATTGGTGAGGATATTAAATATATTCAGGTTTGTATCATTCTTTTACTTTATATTTTTGTTTTTGTTTGTCATTCTGTTCTATGGCTGTTTTTTGATGGCTTCTTCGGTGAAGGACATTTAGGTTGTATCTGGCCATTTGCTTTTAGCAAATGAAGTTAACATTGTTGTTCATAT